CTCACCCTGCTCTCTGATCCCTCACCTTCCTCAATCTTGTCATCCTTGCCCTGCTCTCTGATCCCTCACTCTCCTCACCCTCTCCCTGCTCTCTGGTCCCTCACTACTGAGTTCCCACCCCCATATTCCGTTCGGGTAGCCAGTGCTGATCTGGTGTGTTGACCTCAGGTTTCGCCCTCCCACTGGAAGCATGATGGCAGAGACAGAGAGCACGATCGATGCGAAAACAGCTCAAGCCAAGACCATCCCAGTGGAGATGGTGGAATACAAGGTGAGCTTACAGTCAATCCAACTTAATGCGGCCGCTTGATATAAACCTCCTGGTTCCTCCCAGATCGAGAATCTTTCCCAGCTATGGGGTTAGATACAGAGTAAAGTTCCCTCTGCACTGTCCCCCCATCAAACACATCCAGGGACAGGGACAGCACGGGCTTAGATACAGAGTAAAGCTCCCTCTACACTGTCCCCCATCAAACACTCCCAGGACATGGGCAGCACGGGGTTAGTTACAGAGTAACTATTTACTGTATAGTTTTATGTCAATGATCCTGCCTCTCACATGAATGTGTACCGAGGTGAGGGATGTTTTATATTGTACTGTCAGTCCTGCATGTTGACTCTCTGCCTTTGTAGGGTTGGGGTTTTTCTGAGGCAAGAGGGTTTTCTTGTACCTGATTCCAGTCTCGTCACTGCTGTCTCAGCCTCAGTTCATCCTCGTCTCAATTTGAACCCAAATCAGCTTGAGTGGATATTAGAGCTGACACGTTGCCATTCAGCCCCTTCCCCAGCCTGTTACACAGGGGAACAGCAGGAGGCCATTCAGCCCCTTTCTCAAGTCTGTTACATGCAGAACAGCATGAGGCCATTCAGTCCCCTCCTTGAGCCTGTTACACAGGAATAGGATTATGAATCAGTTCCCCATGCCTCAGCAAGACAGTGGCTTGGATTGTATCTTGCTGTGTAATCTCCACAATCATCTCCTTTTCTTCCTCAGATGAAGATCTTCGAACAGGAGAATTTCCAAGGCCGGTGTGTGGAGGTGACCGGAGAGTGTATGAACGTCTGTGACATGGGCTTCGAGAGGGTTGGCTCAATGCGAGTGGATTGTGGACCGTAAGGCACCCCATTCTCAGGCATTGGGAGTGGTGGTGGTGGGGGAGGTGTGAGGGGTTGGGGTTAGGGAGTGGGTGAGGAAGAGATCTGTGAGTGACATGGGATGGGGATGGACGTAAAACATGAAAGAAATAAAACATTCACAGCTCACATCAGCACACAAATGATGCCACACAGCACCGTCACCAATAAATGACAATCTAACCACCTTCCCTTTACATTCAATGGTGTTACCATCACTGAATCCCCCACTATCAACATCCCGGGGGTTACCATTGACCAGAAACTCACCTGGACCCATCACATAAACACAGCGGCTACAAGAGCAGGTCAGAGGCTGGGAATCCTGCAACGAGTAACTCCCGTCCTGTCTCCCCACCAAAGCTTGTCCCACCATCTACAAGGCACAAGGCAGGAGGGTGATGGGATACTCCCCACTTGCCCCTGGATGGGGGCAGCTCCAACAACACTCAAGAAGCTCGACACCATCCAGGACAAAGCAGCCCCCGCTCGACTGGAACCACATCCACAAACATCCCACTCCCTCCCCCCACTGACGCTCAGTCGCAGCAGTGTGTACCATCTACAAGATGCTCTGCAGAAATTTACCAAAGATCCTCAGGCAGCACCTTCCAAACCCACGACCCACTTCCATCCAGAAGGACAAGGGCAGCAGATACATGGGAACACCACCCCCTGCAAGTTCCCCTCCGAGCCACTCCCCATCCTGACTTGGAAATGTATCCCCGTTCCTTCAGTGTCACTGGGTCAGAATCCCTGGAATTCTCTCCCTAAGGGACATTGTGGGTCAACCCACAGCACATGGACTGCAGAGATTCAAAAAGGCCGCTCACCCCCACCTTCTCAAGGGGGCAAAATGGCATGGAGAATAAAAGTATTGGCCCATGTCGCAAAAGTGAGTGAAGGATATTGGAACTGCTCCTTGCTTCTTATCACTTTACCTGAATAACTGGCGGGACCTCTTTAGTCACTGCCTGCACCTTTGAAAAAGGCCCATTTATTCCCACTCTCTGGCTCCTGTCTGTCAGCTCATTCCCAATCCATACATTCCTAGAGTGGCAGTAGCTATTACGAGGGGGCATAGTTTTAAAGTTAGTGGAGGTAGATATAGGGGAGACATCAGAGGTAGGTTCTTTACTCAGAGAGTGATCGGGGCATGGAATGCATTGCCGGAGAGGGTAGTGGAGTTGGCCTCATTAGGGGCATTTAAGCGGCTATTAGGTAGGCATATGGATGATAGTATAAGGTAGGGGTGGAGGTTAGATAGACCTTAGGTTTAGGGTAAAAGTTCAGCACAACATCGTGGGCCGAAGGGCCTGTACTGTGCTGTACAGTTCTACTGTCTATGTTCTATTCCCCCCAATCCCATGTGCTTTAACATTTCCATGTAATGTCTTATGAGGGACGTTGTCATAAACTTTTTGAAAATCCAAATTCCCTCCATCCACTGGTTCCCCCTTATCTATTCCAGTAGGTACATTCCCCCCAAACAAACACCAGACATTCATTAAGTGTGGTCTGCCTTTCAGAAACCCAGGCTGTCTTTGGCCAATCCTGCATATGCTTTCCAATAATTTCCCTGTTATTGATGTTAAACTAATTGCTCTGTAATTATCTGTTTTATTTCCTCTTCCTTTTTAAACCTTGGGGTTACATTTGCTACCCTTCAATCTGAAGGGTCTGCTCCAGTCTCCATTGCATCTTGGAACATGAAACTGATGTACCCCATACTTCCAGGGCCACTCCCCTGAGTACTCTAGGCTGTAGGTTATCAGGCCCTGGAGATTTATCAGCCTTTAACTCATTCATCTCCCCAGCAGCATTTTCTGACCAATTCTAATTTTCCTTCAATTTCACCATGTCACTTGGTCCCCTCACATTTCTGGGAACTCATTTGTAGCCTGTTTTGTGAAAACAGAACCAAAATCTGTGTTCAATTCTTCTGTCTTTTCTTTGTTCCCCTTTGTAATTTCTCTGGCATTTGACTGTAAGGCTGAAATAACTCCAAGAGGTTGGTATCCTGTCACCAAGTCCCCTTTTATTTATATATGGACAGTTCTTGACACTGATCCAGGTCCCTCAGAGCCAGATCTCAGAGTGAACCGGACTTCTGACACTCTTATTTCAACCTGTCAGCCAGGACTTCCTGATTGGACCAGGTTAACATCCCCAATCAGGAAAATCATATCGTCTGAGGTTCACCTGGCTGATGCCATTGCAATCATGACAAGCCTCCCCCTCGGAGTCTGAGGGTATGGGCTGGTTCCTTATTTTGTAGCTCGTCACTGGGTGTTTTAATGCTGCATCAGTTTCCTCTGACACGAGCAGTGTGTAATGTATATTAGCTTGCTTCTTGTGCCTGCAGACTCGCATTCTCTTCTTCAGGAGGAAAAGGCGTTGAGGTGGAAACATCCGCAGTGTCCATCTGAGCTTCCAAGATCTCTTTGATGCTTGATGGAGACGGAGAACACATGGGTTCTGCCAGCTTTCTGACTGTTCCCAGGTGCCGGGCATGTTTTCCTCTCACCCCGTTTGCAGCTTTCATGCGGTCCATGGGCTTGCTCAGGACCACCCCAACTGACCAAGGTTTCTTACCCGTGTGGGGCCATTCCCACGGTTCATTCACAAAACTGAACTAAACTGTCTCAATTGGGCGACTCTTGTATCCGCCATTGACATTCCTGAAGCCATTTCACCGTCGCCCCCCCCCCCCCCCCCACCCCCAACAGCCAGGAAAATCAGATTTAACCTGGTGCAAAGTCTTCTCACCATTGACAACTCTGCTTAAACTATCTCCATAGCTTCATGAGGGGTGGTTCTATAATCAAATAGGAACTGCAACATTTTGGTACCTATTGAAGCTTTAGGCTGTTACTTTAAACCTGCCCTTAAAGTTTGGACTGCTCTTTCTTAGAATAATGGTCCACCGCTGAAATTAACCTGAAGCTATTGGCAACACAGACTTGTCCTCTTTAAGTAGACCTAACAAGGGTTTGTGGTTGGTTATTATGACAAATTTATGTCTGTAAAGGTATTGGTTCAACTTCCTGACTCCAAATATGGCTCCAAATCTTCCTTCTCCATCTGGGCGTATTTACACTCTGCCTTAGCAAATGTCCTGGGCGTTCCTCTCCATTGGGTCACCTTTGTACTATTACTGCTCTGATGTTGTATGTGGAGGCCTCGCATGTCAATGCCAGATCTTGCTTGGGTGCACAGCGTGCAACTTTTTAGAGGACGATAGATGTTTCTCCACTTCCCTAAAGGCTATGGCTTGGTGACAACCATTTCAGAGGCTGACCATTTTTTAGGAGTTGATGCATGAAGTTTCCAAAATAAATCACCAGCCCAAAGTAAAATCTAAGCTTTGACACAGACATGGGAACCGGGCCACCTTTGATCACCCTCACTTATCTTCCACAGGGAGTAACCCAGTCTTGTCCAGTTGGCCTTCGATTAGTATGCTAGTAGGTTAGGTTGATTGGCCTTGCTAAATTCCCCATAGTGTCCAGTGATGTGAAGGCTAAGTGGAATAGTGATGGGAAATTTAGGGATACAGGGGGAGGGTAAGGGAGTGGGTCTGGGTGGGATGCTTTTGGGTGGGGATTGTAGGGATGCTATGTAGGTACTTTTGTATGATTACATCATGAATCCCACATACCGAACGGTCTCTCAGCATTCATTGATGGTTAAATCAAAGTCACATGCCTCTGCCAGTCTTCTTAACCTCTTCAATTATCCCAATACAGATTTGCCTGCTTCCAGAATAGCTGATTCAGAATGAGGGATGGAAATATTCATTAACTAAATCTGCCAACTCTTTAAAGGTTTTAATATCTGGTGTCTCAAGGAATGAGAGGCTCCTAATAACCAAAAAAAGCTGTAGGTCCACAAGCTATCAGGAGAATTACTTGCTGCTTTTCATCTGCCCCAATGTCTCAGTCTTTGCTGGCAGGATCAAACAAGTCAAACTTCTCAAATAAAGGCATGATGCCAGAAATGCTTACCCTAACTCAAAGACAACTGTTGTGAGCAAGTTTCCTCAGGAGCGTGCTTTTCTCTCATCAGCACTGAAATAACTCCAAAGAGACTGATATCCAGTCTCCAAGTCACCCTTTACTTACACGTGCAGAGTCCTTGACACTGATCCAGCTCCCTCAGAGCCAGCTCTCAGAGTGAACAGGATAGCATCCTTATTTTTATCTGTCAGCCAGTGTTCCCTGATTGGACCAGGTTAACAGCCCCAGTCAGGGAACTCATACTCTATATAAACACTGAAAGTGCTGCAGATGCTGTAAATCAGAAATAAAAACCGAAATTGCTGGAAAATCTCAGCAGGTCTGGCAACACCTATGGAGGGAAATCAGAGTTAGCATTTTGGCTCAAGTAACCCTTCCTCAGAACTTATATTCTATCAGGTCTACCTGGCTGACCTTGTTACAAACACTACAAAGGCAACTACATTTATCTTCACTAACCTTTATGTCTTCATAACTTGTGAAAACTTTGATAGTAGTATTTATAATCTCTGCGATTTTACTCTCATACTTTATATTCCCCACTTCTGATCAAACATTTTGCCTCTTTTGCTGAATTCTAAAATGCTCCTAGTCCTCAGCCTTGCTGATTTCACTGGCAACTTTATATCCCTCCTTTTTAGATCCAATACTATTCTATTTCTTTTGTAAGTAATGGTTGAGCCATTTCTCTGCTTCCATTTTTGCACCAGAAATGATGGAATAATTGTTGTAATCATGTGCATGTTATTTAATGGTAATCCATCCTTGCCAATTTGCACCTTATACTCTCATAGTTCCTTTTATTTAGATTCCACATTCTAGTTTTGGATTTCACGCTCCATCTTAAGGCAGAATTCTACCAATTTATGGTCACTTTTCCTAAAGAGGCCCTGCACAACAAGATTGTTAATTAACCCTTTCTCATTGTCCAGTACACAGTCTGGTAAAGTCTGTTGTCTTGCTGGTTCCTCAAGGTGTTGGGCTAAAATACCCAGCACGTGCAAACTGCAAGAAATATTCTCCACAATCCCAGTGTTAGTTAGGTTTGTCCAATCTAATTCTAAATTAAAGTGACCCAGGACTACTGTTGTACCCTTATTCCATGCCTCTATGATTTCTTGTTTAATACTTTCACTTACGGCTTCACTACTAATTCAGGTTGATAAATCACTCCCAGCAATGTTTTCTGCCCCTTGGTATTTCTAATTTCCACATTATGATTTTTGAGTGATATCCTTCCTCACTATTAATCTAATCCTTTACTGTCAATAATACACCAATTCCTTTTCCTTTCTGTCTGAACTTCCTGAAAAATGAAAACCCCTGGATTCAGTTCCCACCCTTGGTCACCTTGCAGCCATGTCTCTATAATCATAGCAAGATTCTATCTGTGTATCTCGAATTACAATGTAGATTCTTTGTCCTTATTGTGAATTTATTCCCTCCTAACAGTTGGGTCGTATATGACAAATGCAATTTCTCTGGTGAGATGTTTGTCCTAGAGAAGGGTGAATTTCCCCGATGGGACTCCTGGTCGAACAGCTATCGGAATGAGTACATCATGTCATTCAGGCCTGTCTGTATGGTATGTCCCTGCTCATCTTCTTTCATTTGGCATCTGTACTTCTCTTAGGTCGTGCTCAGTTTTCCTTCTGTCATTCCATTCTGCCTGTATATTCCTAAATAACAAACAGTCTACCTCCTTCCTGGTCCTCTGGGAGCAGCTCGTGTGATTGTTATTTCCTGGGTTCTCTGAGGGTGAGGAATTTACAATGGAATAGAATTCATTGCTTTTAGCTCCTTGTGCTGGTTTCAGATGTGGTGTTGTGACCCACCAGGGCTGCCGTTACGGACTGGACACATTCTGTTAATGAGTGGAACCGTTCATGTCTGTCTCAGTCTCCAACATATTCCACAACCCAGCCTCGACAGCCCTCTGTGGTAAAGAATTCCACAGATTCACCCTCCTTTGAGGGAAGAAATTCCTCCTCATCTCTGTCTTCAATGGGTGACCTCTTATTCTGAGACTATACTCTTTAGGTCCAGACTCTCCCACAAAGGGAAATAACCTCTCCACATCCACCCTGTCATGTCCCTAAAGAAACTTGCACGTTTCAGTAAAGTCACCTCTCATTCTTCTAAACTCCAACCAATTCTAATTAAAGACAATCTATCCATCCCCGGGATCAGCCAAGTGAAACTTCCCTGAACTGCCTCCAATACCAGTCTGTCTTTCCTTTAATCAGGTACCCCAAAACTGTTCAGAGATTTCCAGCTGTGGTCTGACTAGTTTCTTAACACAGCTTTAATAGAAGCTTTGCACTTTTATACTCTCTCTTTGAAATAAAGACCAACATTCCCTTTTCTTTCTCTACTGCAGATTGAAGATTGTTTTATGTGCTTCATAGATAAGGAAATTCCAAAATCCTGTTACATAGCTTTCTGCAGCCTTTCCCCATTTTAATAATATTCACTTCCTCTATTCTTCCTGCCAAAGTCCATCACCCCACAGTTCCCCACATTATTTTCCATCTGCCAAGCTTCTACCAACATAACCTGTCTAAACCCTCTGTGACATCCTCACCACTTGCCTTCCCACCTATTTTTTGTGTCATCTGCAAACTTGGCGATTGTGCATTCACTTCTCTCATCCATTTCATGAATATATATTGTTAATAATTATGGCCCCAGCACCGAATCCTAGTTCCAGGTTGACATCATAAACATTCTCCCCTTTTCTGAACTCAATGTCTTCATTTCGTTAGCGAATTATTTGTTAATGTTAATAATCTCCCTAAACTCTATAACCCTGCCTAACATTTGAAACTCTCCCAGCCCCTACACCCCTCCCTATCTCTGTCACATCTACACCCCTCCCTACCTACACCCCTGCGTATCTCTGTAACCACTACCAGCTCCTACACCTCTCGCTATTTCTGTAACCTCCACCAGCCCATACACCCCTCCTATCTCGGTAGCCTCTCCAGGTCTATCTCAGTAACCTCCACCAACCTCTACCTTCCTACCTCCTTCCTACCTCTGTCACATTCTCCAGGCCCTACGTCCCCTCCCTGTCTCTGTAACCTCCTCCAGCCCCTACATCCCTCTCTATCTCTGTCACATCCTCCAGCTCCAATTCCCCTCCCTACCTCTGTAACCAGCCTTGGGAGGAAACTGGATGGACAGTGATTGACTCACTGGGTGGACAGTGTATCACACACTGGATAGGCAGTGAGTCCCACATACTGATTATTTACCCCAAGAGTTGAGATTTTTAATAAGGATGAACACTGATGAACGTTGTATGTTTTCTTTCCTCTCAGGATCCCCGGCAGCACAAGATCTGTCTGTTTGAAATGGCAGGATTCCAGGGTCGGAAGATGGAAATCCTGGATGATGATGTTCCGAGTCTGTCTTCCTATGGATTCACCGATCGAGTGGGCAGCATTACTGTGAGCTGTGGCACGTGAGTATTAAAGAATCTACCTTGAATGAAAGGAAACTGCTGCTGAGTTTCCAAAACAGGGGCAATGAGCTAATACACCCAAACAGGTACAGACAGTGATGGGGTTGGTTAGCGACAAGCTGCACAAGTTTTTTTCTGTCACTTTGTACCTTTCCCATATCTCAGTCTCTCCCCTGCCCCTCAGTGAATTTCCAAATCCAGACAATACTTTATCTTCCATTCTCTGAGTTGGAAGACAATCTCTCACAGTTGCAAATCTGTTACATAAATTGGGCGACCATTCAGCCTAACCTGTCAGTGCTGTCCCTTTGAAGGAACAGTTCAGCTCTTGCTCCTTCCCTGCCTTCTCCCGGTATCCCTGCACATTCTTCTGATCCAGACAATGGCCCAGTTCCCTGCCAAAAGCCTCACTGATCAGCGTATGCCACACTTTCAGACCAGGGGTACCAGAACCGAACCATACACCTGTTTGAGAAACAAAACTCCACTTATCGTTGTCAATTCTTCTGTTAATCACCTCAAATCTCTACCCTCCTCTTCCTCGTTGTTTCGCCAATGGGAACAGCTTCCACCCCCATGATTTTGAAAACCTCTACCAGATCTCCCTCTCAGCATTCTTCTCTCCAAGGAGAACAATCCTGAAATTCTTTAATCTCTCCTTATCACTGAAGTTCTTAATTCCTGGGACCAACCTCATGAATCATAGGGTTAATGAACAGGAGGTCATTCTGCCCCTCTATCCTGCCTAGTAATTCATTAAAATTGTAGCTAATCTGAGTTTAACCTCAACTCTACATTCTTGCATATTGTGGATAAACTTTTATCAACTTGGTCTTCAGGAATATCTGCTTTTGCTTTCAAAATATTTAAGCATTCTGCATCCACTGCCCTTTGAGGAGGGGAATTTCAAAGACTCACAACTTTCTGAGAGAAAATAAAAACATCCCCATCTCTGTTTTAATGAGAGCTCCTTACTTTCAAATAGTGACTCCCCGGTTCGAGATTCTACACCAAGAGGAAATTTCCTTTCCACATCCACACAATCCAGTCCCCTCAGGACCTACTCTGGTTTGGTTCAGTCCCCTCAGATTGTACTAAACTCCTGAGGATACAGGGCCAGCCTTTCCTCATCAGGCAATCCGCTCATTCCAGCAATGAGTCCAGTGAACATTCTTTGAGCTGCTTCCAAACACATTCCACTCCCTCTGTCAGTACAGTGCCCACACAGTCCCTGTACACAGTATACCAGCTGCAGACTCACCATTGTCCTGTGTAACTAACACCCTAACTCCCGGATTCAATCCCCCCTTGCAATAAACCATCAGATCCCATCAGCTTCCTTGAGTACTTGCTGTACCCGCACACTAACCTTCTGTGATTCATGCACTCAGACACCCAAATCCCACTGCAGCTCAGAGCTCTCCACCCTCTTCCCATTTATATCATCTGTTCATTTTTTATTCTTTCAACCAAAATAGAAAAGTTCCCATTTAATCAAATTGTACCCCATTTCCCGAATCTTTTCTCACTTACCGAACTATCTACATTCTTTTGATAACTCACTTTCCTCCTGAGCTTTGGGTCATTGGTAAGTTTAGCTTCTGTACCTTCGACCCTTCATCCAAACTATTTCTGTAAATTTTAAAGAGTTAAGGCCCCAATATGAGCCACGTGGGATGCCACTCGTGTCATCCTGCCAGCCTGGAAAATGTCCCACTCTCTGCTTCCTGTTCACCAGCTAATCTTCAATCCACATCAATATGTTACCCCCACACCACAACCTTTTAGTTGTTGCAACAATGTTAATGTGGAACATTTACAAATGCCCTCTGGAAATCCAAGCACTGTACTGGTACCTTTACCTACAGCATGTGTTAGCTCCTCAGAGAACTCGGATAACTTGGTTGAAAATAATTTTCCTTTGACAATACCAGGTTCACTCTGCCCAATTACATGAAATTTTTCAAAGTGCTTTATTAAGAAGGTCTTTCACAAAGCCTGACACTTAAGTTGTTTGAGATGTCATGGGTTCAATGGGGAGTGCTGGAGAGAACTCCAGGAGCAACACCAGGCAGCACCTGAAGATGAGGTGTTAGGCTGGTGAAGCTACCAATCAGGACTACTCACATGCCAAGCTAAGTAAGCAGCAAGTGAGCTAAGTGATTCCACAACCAACGAATCTGCAGTCCTGCTACATCCAGCAGTGAATGGTGATGGACAATTAAATATCTCACCGGAGAAAGTGGCTCCACAAATACTGTCATCCTCAATGATGGAAGAGCCCAGCACATCAGTAACCAATAAGGCTCTTTCCTCACTCTCCCTCACACCTCTGTCATACCTCCCTGACCACTGCCTCATTCCTTCCTCACAGCTCCCACACTCCTCCCATGCACTTCCCTTACACTTACCTCAACATTCCTCACCCCTCTCTCACCCCTCCCTTGTAAATCCCTTGTATCTCCCTCTCACCTCCCTCAGTCCTCCGTCACATCTCTCTCACCATCTCTTCCTCTTTCCCTCGCCTTTGTACTCGCTTTCTGTCTTTTCACTCCCACTCTCTCTCTCACTCACTTTGTCTTTCTCACTTTTTCTCACTTCCCCATCTCTCTCTCTCATACACTCTCTGCCACTCTCATTCTCTCTCACACTCTCTCTCAATCTCACACACTTACACCGTCTCTCTCTCTCCGTCACACTCACTGTCACTCTCTGACTCACACACTCTTTCTTGCTCTGCCATGCACCCACACAGTCTGTCACTCTCTCTCACTTTCTCTCACACACATTCTCTCTTGCTCTCTCTCATATACCCTCGCTTTCTCACCCTCTGTCTTTCTCTCTTTCTCTCTCTCAATCTATCTCATGCGTGCACTCTTTCTCTTTGTTTCTCAGTCTATCTCTTTCTCTTGCTTCCATTCTCTCTCACTCCCTCTCACTCTCTCTCATGCACTCACACAGTCTCTGTCACCCTCATTCTCTCTCACCCACTCTCCCTCCCTTTCTCTCACTCTCACTCTCTTTCTCACACACACGCACTCTCTCTCACTCTCATACACTCACACACTCTGTCACTCTCACTCCATTTCTCACAGTCTCACTCACTCTCATTCTCTTCCACTCTCCCTCACACTCTGTCTCACTCTTTCTGTTCTCTCACTCACACACACACTGTCTCACACAGACAATCTCACACACACACACACACTCTCATACGCTCACTCTCTCTCGCTTTCCACCCTATAGGTGGGTAGGTTATGAATACCCTGGTTACCGTGGATGCCAGTTTCTTCTGGAGAAAGGCGAGTACCGACACTGGAATCAATGGGGGGCCCATAAGCCTCGGATCCAGTCTGTGAGGCGAATCAGAGACCAGCATTGGCACACCCAAGGATGTTTCACCATCACCAACTAGTGGGTGCAAGATTTGGGGCTTGACTGACTCGGGGCATGGTAATGTGGCACTCATCAGAAAGGAGCAATGCAGGTAGAGTGGATTGGGATAGAGGGTTACTGGGAGTAAATGGGGTACAATACAATGGCATTGGGGAATACGGGAGGGGAAATGGATAAAGTCCTGGAGTGCAGACCGGGTCTAGGGGTGGGGATGCAGTTAAGGTGTGTGTATAGGGTCTGGGACTGGGAGAAACAGGTCCATGGAGGTAGTCGGGGTTGAAGTGTGAACAATGTCTGGGAGTGGAAAGCAGTGTTAAAGGGTCGGGACATGTCCTGGGGGACATGGGTACAGCATCTGGTGGTGGGGTAGGGTCTGGGCGTGAAGATGAAGAAGGGGGAAGTGTTAGGGGTGGAGCAGGTTGTCTGGGTGGGGACAGGATCTGGAGGCATAGAGACAGAGTCGGGGCACTGGGTAGAGGTTCTATGGGTTGGGGACAGGTTTTGGGGGTGACAGTAACCTCAGGGTCACTAAAAGGGAGTGGTTTCATATTCTATGCCTTGGGATGATCTGTGGGGGGTTGGTGGAGGAGACAAAGTCAGGATGCATAATCCTTGATCGGGGAGGGGGAAGGTGCAGGCTGGTGTAAAATGAAAGGACATTTCCCTTTCTGAAGCTTATTAAGAGTGAACAAATCTCCACTGGCACAATGTTCTGGAATCATCTCCCTGCTGTTAACCGCATGGCTGCTTGAAGTGTGAGCTGTTGTTTTATTCTGAAATAAAGACTGCATTTAAACACAACAGCAAAGTCACTGAATGAGGGTCTGATTTTTCTCTCTGTGTTTCCCTGGTCGGCGACCATTCCCTGACTGTTGGGAAAGCTCAGGGACATGTTCCAGTGTGGAAGAGGCTTCAAACCAGGAGAACATCTCCCTGCGAACAGCCAACACTGGGAATGTAGGATACTCAAATCTTCAAGTCACACAGACCCTGCTTAATCCCAGTGCTGTAACTACCTCCTCTTCTCTCTCTCTTTTACTTCTTTTCTCTCACCACCTTTCTGTCTCTGTCTCTCTCTCTCTCTCTTCCTCTCACACACACCATTCCTATGTCTCTACCTTCACACTCTGTTATTCTCTCACAAACTCTTTCTTTCTCTTTCTCACTCCATTTCTCTCTCCCTCTCTCTGTCTCACTCCAGTTCTCTCTCCCACTCTCTGTCTCATTCCAGTTCTCTCTGGCAGTCCATTTCAATCTCTCTACTTCCATTACCTTCACTCCTGCACTCTATTTCTTTCTCTCTCTTTGGCTCTTCAGTTCTTTCTTCCTCAGTCCATTTCTTTTTCTTTCACTCCACTTCCATTTCTCTCACTCCACCTCTCTCTCACTCTCTTTTTTTTCTCGCATTCTACCTCTCTTTGTCTCACTTCTCCCTCACTCCAGAATAGGAGAAGACTATTCAGCTCTTCTTGTCTGCTCTGCCATTCAATATGATCATGGCTGATCATCCAACACAGTTCCCTGTTGCTGCTTTCTCCCCTGTATCTTTTGATCCCTTTAGCCATGAGAACTATATCTAACTCCTTCATAACATTCAGCATTTTACCCTCAACCACCTTCTGTGGCAGAAAATTCCACAGGCTCCTCACTGTCTGGGTGAAGACATTTCTCCTTATTTCAGTCCTAAAAGGCCTACCCCGTATCGATGGACTGTGATCCCTAGTTCTGGAATCCCCCATCATTGGGAACATCCTTCCTTCATTTATCCTGTCTCATCCTGTTAGTATTTTATAGGTTTCTATGAGATCCCCCCTTATTCTTGTAAACTGGAGTGAATACAATCCTCAGAGACACAGCCTGTCTTCATATGCCAGTCGTGCTATCCCAGGATTCAGTCTGGAAAACCTTCACTGCACTCAATCTATAGCAAGAACATCCTTCCACAGATAAGGAGACCAAAACTGTGCACAATATTCCAGCGATAACAAGGTGTAGAGCTGGATGAACACAGCAGGCCAAGCAGCATCAGAGGAGCAGGAAAGCTGATGTTTCGGGCCTAGACCCTTCTTCAGAAAATTTTTTAATGTAACAGAGGAAGAGGTGGGGTTTAGGGCCAGTCTAGCTACGGAAGAGGGATTGTTCCACGTAACCTACAAAGAGGCAGGCATAGCTTGGGCCCATGCGGGTACCCATGGCCACCCCCTTTGTCTGTAGGAAGTGGGAGGAATTGAAAGAGAAGTTGTTGAGGGTGAGGACGAGTTCGGCTAAGCGGATGAGGGTGTCAGTGGAGGAGGACTGGTTGGGCCTGTGGGATAGGAAGAAGCGGAGGGCCTTTAGGCCATCTGCATGGGGAATGCAGGTGTATAGGGACTGGACGTCCATGGTAAAGATGAGGTGTTGGGGAGCAGGGAATTGGAAGTTCTGGAGGAGGTGGAGGGCGTGGGTGGTGTCATGGACGTAGGTGGGGAGTTCCTGGACCAAGGGGGAGAAAATGGAGTCGAGATAGGTGGAGATAAGTTCGTTGGGGCAGGAGCAGGCGGAGACAATGGGTCAACCAGGGCAGTCAGGTTTGTGGATTTTGGGAAGGAGATAGGAGCAGGCGGTGCGGAGTTGGGGAACGATGAGGTTGAAGGCTGTGGGTGGGAGGTCACCTGAGGTGATGAGGTTGTGGATGGTTTGGGAGATGATGGTTTGGTGCTCAGGGGTGGGGTCACGATCAAGGGGGCGGTTGGAGGAGGTGTCAGAGAGCTGGCGTCTGGCCTTGGCGATGTAGAGGTCAGTGTGCCATACTACAACTGCGCCTCCCTTGTCTGCAGGTTTTATGGTGAGGTTGGGATTGGAGCGGAGGGAGCGGAGGGCTGCACGTTCTGCAGGGGAGAGGTTGGAGTGGGTGAGAGGGGTGGAGAGGTTGAGGCAATTGATGTCACGATGGCAGTTGGAGATGAAGCGGTCGAGGGAGGGTAGGAGGCCTTGGGGTGGTGTCCAGGAGGAGGGGGTGTGTTGGAGGCGGAAGAAGGGGTCAGTAGAGAAAGGGTTAGGCTCACGGTTGAAGAAGTAAAAGTGGAGGTGGAGGCGGTGGAAAAACTGTTCAAGGTCCAAGTGTAAGTTGTATTCGTCGATGTTTGGGTGGAGGGGGACAAAGGTGAGCCCTTTACTGAGGACTGACCATTCGCCCTCAGTGAGGGGAAGGTCTGGGGGGATGGTGAAGACTCGGCAGGGCTGGGTGCTACAGTCTCCTCTGGAACTGCTGGCTGTGGAGGTGGTGGGCGGAGCGACATCAGCGTCGGTGATGGACGGAGCGGGGTAGGAGGCTGCAGCAGCGGTGATGGTAGGTGCGTCCTCAGTGTCTGTGGTGTTGGCCTTGGAAATGGAGGTGGTGGCATCAGCAGCGGTGTCGATGGCGTTTACTGTCCCGGAAGTGGTGTACCCGGTGGTGGCGGATGTGACGTCATCGGTGGGTGCTCTGACAGTGGCCACATGAGCAATGGCGGCTGGCACATTGTGGGGAAGGTCCTGGGTAGGGTTGGGGATTTGGAAGGTGGAGGAAGCCCATTTTGGGTGGTAGGCACCAGTAAGTTTACTGTACTTATGGTTTTTAGTGTCCAATAAAGCTGAGTAGAATTGTGCGTTCAGGTTGTGGATCCTACGAAGAATAAAAAACAGGAGAGGTCCTTTGCAGGTCTGGGAGAGGGAGTCTCTGAGCTGGGGTAGGCTTGATTGTAGTGCCAGGAGATGCCGGCGCATTGCTGCAAGTGTGTGTTTGAGGAGTCGCAGGGAGAAACCCTTCTGAAGGATCACAATGTTCTGAATGTAGACATTGTCGCGGTTGGGGTCAAATTAGGAAGGCCTAAATGTGGACTGTAGTCCATTGGGGATGATCTGGTTCCGTAGGCAGGTACTAAGAAAGGTAACGTGGCTGTAGTACCTGGTTTGCTTCAAGATGTGGTCGAGCAGTTTCAAGGCTGAAGAGATTATGAGAGAGTTGCAGTGGGAGAGAGATTCACTGAGGTCTTTTCGGAAGGAGGAGGGTAACTTCTTCAAGATAGGCACCCTTAGAAGAGGCTTCGCAGTGGGGTTAAGATTGTTTCAGAGACAGTAGGAACTGCAGATGCTGGAGAATCTGAGATAACAAGGTGTAGAGCTGGATGAACACAGCAGGCCAAGCAGCATCTGAGGAGCAGGAGAGCTGCTCCTCAGAAAAAAATTTCTGAAGAAGTGTCTAGGCCTGAAATGTTAGCTTTCCTGCTCCTCTGATGTTGCTTGTCCTGCTGTGTTCATTCAGCTCTACACCTTGTTGTCTCAGATTCCCACAATATTCCATTTGTGGTTTCACCAAGACCTTGTACAATTCCAGATTCCAATTCACGTATTCCATCAGAATACATGAACATCAGCTAGCAGCAAAACAGCACGACAAACTCTCCTTAACATTGGTACATTCAGAAATGAAGGCCATCAATTTAACTGGGACAATGTAACCATTGTAGCACAAGCCAAACATAGACATACACAGGAATTCCTGGAGGAATGGTTCTCCACCCATACTTCAATCAAGAAACATATAGAATTGGACTCCATATACAAACCTATGCAGATCAAAACCGGAAATGACATGACTTACCATAATGGACTACACAGTACAAATTCCAAGTGGAGTAGAATTCCATTGCTTCATCGGAGGCTCCGCTGATGATGTCACTTAACATGGCGAAGAAGCGTCTGAACAAAACCAGGCCAGCGCAGTGAGCAAGTCAACAACCTCACCTCTATAAGGTTATAGACACTCCAGGGAAAATAGTCCCAGCCTATTCAGCCTCTCCCTATAGCTCAAGACCTCTAAGACTGGCAACATCCTTGTGAATCTTTTCTGATCCCTTTCAAGTTTCATAACATCTTGCCTTTAGCAGGATCACTGAAGATGTCTGGATAATGTCCATATATTTAACTGATGCCCAACTGATAGTTATTAAAGCAGCTGCGTTAGGACAGAGATGTAACCTTGAGACGGAATGGAGGTCAGAGTCAACAGGTTTAGAAATGGAGACGGAATATAATTGGTTTGCAAATTGATTCAGAGTCAAGAGGGAGCTTGTATGGTGTGTGAAGTCAGATCTAT